ACTGGAGTCTAAGAGTCAACCTAATCTCTGGAAACGTGAGGCTGCCAGCCTTTTCTCCTATTCAAGTTCAAGAATCAATTCTCCCACTGAACCTGAACTAACCGCAGTGTCTTCCCCTCACCTTTCTGTAATGGTTTCTCTGCATTTGGGTCTGATCTTTAGTTAAATCATGACATATTTGTCCTTTTGAATCATGATCACACAACATGTGAAACCCCTTTGAAATCAGTTCAAGGATTAAATTGTAGATGTTTAAAAAGCTGAAAGCTGTCCTGTTTCTGCTTGGCACGACCCAGATGACTAGGAACTTACGAAGGCATCATCTATTTGCTATACATCTGTTTTCTACAGTGGACAACTCTGGATTATATCTAGAAGCATCTGAGGGAAGGAGCTGAGTTTTCTAGTGAAATATTTCATTTTTTTTAAAGGAAAATGTTAAAATGTAAAAATTTTCCATTCATATGACACTAATAAACTCACTTGTATTTCTCTATTGGATGAACTCTTGATGAAATAAGCTTATGCTGAGTTTTTTGTTGTTTCTTATGAGTTATGAAAAAAATGCAAGTTTTGCTTTATTTTCCTGCTTTTAGGGATTGTTTTCCATTTTCATCAATTTCACAGAAGTACAAAACTTACTCACTGTCATGCTGGTGACACTTTTTGCACTTTTTGTGTTTATGCATTAAAATCAATATATTAAATTGTTTTTGTGTTAGAATTTTTCTATTTTGAACATGTTTTAAAAAAGCATGTTTGTAATTAGGTATTCAGCAACAATGATTTTAATTTTCAATGGCCTCATTGGTTCTTTGTCTTGACTATAACGTAATAGATGGCAAAACCCTTTTGTACATGTTCAGGGAGGTCAGAAAGATTATGTTTTTTTTTTATTTGTTAATCTGATTGGATGCTTTAGGTCCATTTGTTGTCAGAAAATGTTATGGTGTGTATTTCTGGAGTCAGGGTGGTCTATCCTGTCCCCAACAGAACTGGACCAGAGTGTCTATGTCATGAAGCTTTAACAGTCTGCTAATCTTTCACTGTATGACAAATCTGATTTTTGGACCATGACGTTAGCCTAACGTTGTATATTACAGGAGCGAAAACAGGATAGTATGACCTACTGACCTCAATTTATCATGCTTCATCAACCATTTTGTTATGCTGGGATCTTGTTACTTGGTGAAATGACCTGCGGCTTCCTTTAAGGCTGCTGCTTCAGTGATCTTAGAGAAGGGGATATGCTCATAACCCACAGACATTTAAGGATTTTTTGTCATGTATACATTTACATAATCAGAAAATGTCTTCTTTTTTTATTTATCTCCATACTCAGGCTTTAGCTAACAGCAAACAAATACAAACAAGTAATTTCAGGTTTATTTGAGGTTTCTATGTTATCCCTAACAAAAGTTTAAAACCTGTATCCAAGCAACTATGTGTCAAAAGTGTTGGGAAATATGAGAGGTCATTTTATCCTGAGGTATTGACAAACCATTTATCCAAAGCTGGAACATACCAGAGTTATTAAGGCGGGGTTCGGGCTAAGTGACTAAACTAGCATTACTTTTTAAATTAGAATGATGAAGAGCTGCAGTGGCAGGGCTATAGATAGAAGAGGATGTTCCAAGTCAGTGTTAATTACCCTATCATTTTAACATCAGTTAGGGGACTTCTAATGTGTTCATTGAAACGACAGCTCACTGTGACAGCTAAGCTCTATCTAATATAGGCCTACGATATCTAAAGGAAAAATCCGGTCACAGTCAGAATACAAACTTCTGAAAGCACTTTAAGTATGAAATTATTACATTCTGTTCAATAAAGTGTTTTTAATTATTAGTAATTTCTTCTGACTGTGCTTTACTGGAGGCATCCATGTTTGTCAAAGAACACTACTGCCACCTACTGGTTTGTGACGTCACGGTGCGGTATCGGCTGTTGATCAAGTCCCAGTGCTGTATCTGGTGTTTGTCACAACGCGCTAGTATCCAAGTCATCTTGAAAACATTCTTCTTCCAAATGTTGGCTACATATTACGTGTTTTTTCTCTGGCCAGAAGTTCGATGGCAAATCCTCCCTCTTCAAGTTGGCGATCCAATGACCAACCCGTCCGTGGAGGATCAGGAATCAGAAAGGTAAAATAACTATTTTTTTTTTCACTTTTACGCGAAGTATTCCAACATCCAACTGCCATGCATGTGGGCATTGTCAATTTAACTATAACTGGTGAATTTCAATGGTGAAGTCCTCTGGAAATCTTCAATAATTGTTGTTGATGTCACAGTCTTGGTTCTATTTTCTTTTGAGAATTTAGTTTAACTTTGATCCATGTTTTTCTTTGTTTTCTAGTTTTATTGGTTTAATTCCTATTTTGTGGTGTTTTCTGCATATATTTGAGTTCTTAGGTATTTCTTGATTGCCCTCTTGTGTTGGTCTCCTTTTCCCTAGCTCCTTTCTAGACTCCTCTGTTCACACCTGCTCCCAATTAGCTCATTAGTCCTGTCTTTGTTCAGTCTCCCATATATACCCTCCCTGTGCAGTTCCTCAGTGCTGGTTCCTCGTCTTTTCCTGGCTCCCCTCGTGAGTTTTCCCCTCAAGTAGTGTGTTTTTTTTTTTTTTGGGTTCCTTGTATTTTGTACTTTGTTTTTTGGATTTTTGCCTCAGTTATTCAATTAAATCTTCGTCACTGCTGGAAGATGTCAGGAGGGAGGTGTTACTTTATTTGGGCATAAATGTCCGTTGTCGTACTCAGTGATTGCAATGAAAAATATTGTTTTCATTTTTTTCTGATTAATGCTAAATTCATTAAATCACCACAAATGTATTAGTTATAGGTATAGAAAATGATCTATTGTTTATTTCTTGCTGACTGGACTTCTCCTTTAAAGGTATATTGCTCACAGCTGCATAATTCAGCTTCTTGGGTTTTGCAGGGGGGGGGGGGGGGGGTAATCTAAGTGTCTGGGTATTTTTTTACATTTGTGTTCCAATGATGCTTGTCCGCAGGATAAAAGTATGTTTTGAAAACAAAACCCTTTCCTTAAACCAACATTATTGCATTTATATTTTTTTCTATATATAAATTATCTTATATGAAAGTTTTAAATGTTAAATGTATTTAAGATCAGTATTAAAATGCATCACCACACATTGTAATACAAGCTTGAAAATTTAAACCATCACTTTTCTGTGCTATTCCAGTTTATTGAATTACAGACAAACAGAGAAACAGAAACATAGACCAAATAATTAATACATATGATGACCTAGTGTGTCATGGTTTTTGTTCTGTTTAAGTTTTATCTTAATTTTCATTGATTTTATTTCCATTTAGTTTTATTCGGGTTCTTTTTTTAATGTATTTGAGTATTTCTGTATTTATTGTTTGGCCTCTGTTGCCCTCCTGTGTCAGTCTCCTTTTCCCTAGCTCCCTTCTAGATTTCTCTGCCCACACCTGCTCCAAATCTGCTGATTAGCCTTGTCTTCATTTCTCTCTCCCATATATGGACCTCCTGCTCAGTCACTGTTGTTGGTTTTTCTTAATTTCTTTGCCCCCTTGTGAGGATTCCTGATTCTCAGTTTTTGTGGATTTATGTTTTTGGACTTTTGCTTCTGTTACCCGTTTTGTTATTAAATCTACAAGAAACCACTTCAGCTTCAGTGTCTGCATTTGGGTCCTGTCAAACCTCCACCCCAAATTCACATAGTGGTTAGGGTATAGAGCAGAGGTAATGGATTAGAGGACCAGGGTCCGGATCCGGACCCACCTGCTGGCTAATATTGACCCATACTGATTTGCAATATTTAGAATTTACCGTATGTTGGGCTTGCGCCGCTTCTCCTGTTAATACGGTAAAGCCCTCCGGAGTCTCTGGCACCAGGCTATATGTGATCCAAATTAGCCAATGAGCTTTCAGTCTGGGTTGCTGCTGCTGCTAATTTTAGACACAGCAGGCAAACCTGTGGCAAGCCGGGCGATGGGAAAGAAGGAGAAGATGAGAAAAACCGCAGTTAACTGGTGAAAGAAAAGTGAAATGGCGTGCTCAAAGAGGACCCTGCACATTTAGAGGATGTTTGGCTCAACCTGCTGCTGTGAAGCAGGATTCTCCACCATGAACAGAATCAACAATAAATCTGGATCCAGGCTCAAAATCAGCACCTTGATATGTGCTTGAGAATGGCTTAGTCTCCATTCCATTCAAACCCAGGTTTAAAACCTTGCAGGGCAGCCTAAAGCCCACTGCCAACATTAAGACAGAAAAAAAGTCAGTTCAGGTGTTTTTTAAAATATTTGAATCAGGAAATTGCCTATATACCAAACTGAATGATTGTTGCTCTCTACTTCAAAAAACTCTTTAGATTTTAAAATGGAAACATTTTATTTTATTTAAAAATTCAATGTATACCATGGATACATAAAAACCTCATTTTATTTCAATGTAAAATTCTGTTTAAAGTAACAGATTATAATCAAAAATGTCTCTGGACCTTTATTGGTTGATGATTTTCTTTATTCGTTACCCCTGGCATAGAGCTCTGAGGTCCTGAGTTCGAGCCCCACTCCCACAGACTGGGTCATTGCTCCCCGGCTGCCCCACAATGGCAGCCCACTGCTTCCCAAGGAGATGGGTTAAATACAAGAAGTTAATTTCTCCAATATGAGATCCATACATTTTATTTATTTTTTAATACGTTTGTCTGTAATGTTTGTGTGTGTTAAAGATGAAAAATGTTGATTAAATTCAATATTTAAAAATATTGAATGTAATTAATATTTATTAAATCCTAAAAGTTGCTTTTAACATATTAAATTTAATTTAAATAATCTGATTTGCTTCCGCGTTTGATTGACGGCGCTCCTAATTCCCCTTGACCAATCAGAGAGAGGCGGGGGCGGGCCTTACCTTAGCGTAATCAATCCTCTGATCAGCGGTATCCTGAGCGTCATTAACGGCTGAGACAAGCAGAGCCGAGCCGAGCGGAGCGGAGCGGCGCGAAGAGCAAAAAGAACCGAGACGAAAAGCAACATGAAGGAAAGGTTCGTGGTGATCCCCGTGGACAGCGGAGGGGTGGCAACCAGGGAGGGAGAGCACTCACCCCCCGCTGGAGCACAGCCGGCAGCGGACACCGGCGGCAGCAGCAGCGGGGAGGAAAAGGAGCCGCTGGAGGACTCGGTGTTCGAGCCTCAGGACACCGAGGCGGCGGTTCCGATCCTGGAGTACGACAGGGAGCCTAATAAATACGGTGAGACATGTCCGTGGCCCACTTCTTATCTCTGTCTGTCCGGCTTCCAGGGGATTAGACTCTGTGTTAATTGTTGTTTACTAATGGATAAATAAGCGCCTCCAAAACTCACATCCCTCTGAGGTGAGGACCTATATTACAGATAATGCGACCAATGTGGGGGGAACTGAAAGAGTTTCTTTAAATTAGTGCAAACTTTGTTTAAAAACAAGGTAAAGTATATAACTGGATATATTTAGGTTTAATTGGAGGGAACTTCCATAGTGGCTGTCAATAAAATTCACTGTTTTTCTTTATAAGCCAGTCAAGTTTGTTTGTTTAGCTCCATAAATCAGTGAATAAGGATAAATACACTTAATTTAAGAAATGTTTACTTATTTCTACATCGTTTTTGCCGTGCACAATATTCTGATCAAGAAAAAGCAAACATTTTTTTTATTCATGTTTGATTGCCTATCATTTTTTATTTGATTTATAATGTTTAATTCAAGGATAAACTGTAAAACTTCCATTTAATGTCTGTTTTTTCAATATTTTTTTTCTAAATCTGCTGAATTGGACTGATTCACTTTAAAAAGTGTAATATAAGGAGATATAAAAACAACTTAGAGGAAATGTTTTACTTTGTTTACTTTGTTTTACTGTGAACTTTTATTAACCTAATTGTATCATATTTGATACATGGTTTTTGAGACCTTATTTTCTCATTTTGTATACAGAAAATTGTAAACAAAAAGAAATTTCTTTTAAAACGGCTCTAGGCAATTTAATTTTTTAAAGTGCAGCCTTGAAAACAGTAATAAATACATAAAAAATATATACTAATATAAACATATTACTGTATATTTACAGTTCTAACATAATTTATTTATTTTTTATACATCATCAGTGTTATATTTTTATTCTTGAAAACCCTGACTTGCGCAATAAGTCGCATGTAGGGAACAGAAAACGTTTAAAAGACAATAGAGAAATGCCTTATGTATCAAATTTGGTGCAAATAAAGTATCTAATTTAACTTATACAGACTTTAATTTTTTTTTATGTCATTTGTCAGAAAGTTAAATGAAAAGTCTAAAAAGTGTTGATTATTTTATGGTCCGGGCTTTAAAGGGTTAATAGTTTAAATAAAGAAAAGCAAACTGCTGATACTGATAATATTTTATACTGCTTTCCATATGTCATTACTAGAACTACAGTCTTTGTGTTTCCTTATGAACATAGATTCTTACTTTCTCTGACAGACAGGATAAAAGAAAAGGATGAAACTACAACTTTTTTTTTTGGTCCATTTAAATTAAGGTGGTTTTCCATAGACCTGGATTAGAAAATTCTGATACTTTCACGTTTAAATTTTTGTTTTTATTCATATTTCTTAAGCAACATCTCATATTGTCAGCTCTATATCTTTTATATCTTATATCTAATAATTTACACCTCAATAAAGAGTCTTTTGTTTTTGTTTCTTTCAGTATAATCCTTAATAGCTTGCATGCAGTATATTCACTGATAAGAAACTTGCATCTCCCCAGTTAGGACCAACCAAGCTGCAGTTTCTTTTTTTTCCAATCTGCTGCGGATTTCTTGAAGCATCTCCACTTTTTTATCAATGCTTTATTTAACAAAGCTAAATTGATCTTTTAGCATTTAGCCAAATGTTTGCTCTCTTCTAATGACAGACCTTGTTCCTCCAGTAAATGAAAAACAAGGTCTCTATAGCAACACGCAGGTAGGTAGAAAGCTGAGGAATAATTGCAGGTTGCTGTTGGTCATGGAAGCGTGCAAAGCTACAGAGTAATGATGGTTGGAGCGCTCTGATGGGTGTATCGATTAGTAATCAGCCGAGCGTGCTCTGGTACGTCTTGTTTTTTTTTTTTTATGTTCAAGATGAGTTACTGGTTGAAACCTTGAAGCGAATTGTTTCCATTGTTGCAAGCAAATATGTTTTTTAAAAATAAAAATTTTAGAAAACATAATAATAAAAAAAATGCTTTTGGGGACCAGGGCTGGGCGATATGAACTCAAATCAATATCAGGATAATTTGGCGGTTTTACCTCTAACGATAAATGCTCCGGCTCCTCCATCAGAAATAAAGACGTGCAGGAAATGCAACTGATCTATTTATAATTTATTT